ACTATTCAAGTCTTGTTTCAGGGCTGAGGATATAGCTCAGTGGTAGGGCACTTGCCTAATGTATGTGAGGCCCTGGATTAGAATCTCAGCAACAACAACAAACAAAACAAAACAAAATGACAATAACGGGGCCTGGGGTTGTGGCTCAGTGGTAGAGCACTTGCCTGGCATGCACAGGGCACTGGGTTCCATCCTCAGCACCACATAAATGTAAAATGTGTCCACCTAAAACTTAAAAACAAAACAAACAAAAAACCCCCGACAACAACAAAAAACAGTTTCACAAGCATAGGGCACACCTTTGGGTAAGTGTGAAATGAATGTAACAAACAGATCAAACTGCCATGTAGCTAGCCAGCTATGAAAATGGATGGGGGAAAAACAACCAATACATGAATACAATAGAGCTGACCCAAGAAATTATCAAACCAATAATGAGGTATCTTGTGAGATACCATGATTGTTGTTTGTCAATTTCACAATAGTCTATCTATTACTGAATCATTCAGTCCATACCTAGTTCCATACCTAGGCATGCACTTAAATCATCAACTGTGAAGAGTTCTATTTCTCTCTTTTTCCCCCTCTACCATTGAGCTACAGTCCCAGCCCCCAAATCTCTCTCACTTTAAGTATATATATACACTTTATAGATACTGAAATATAACCCCAGTTTAAGTAAAACTGCTTTAGTCAAGTTTGGGTATGCTAAGATAACAATTTGCTTAAAATATCTTCTTTTAGTATCAAAAAATTGATTTAAATTCTTTCTTTTTAAAGAAGGGAATGGGGTGGGGGAGAAGGGGAGAGAGTGCTTTATTTATTTATTTTAAAGTAGTATATCTTTATTGTGGGATGTGGCTTTTTTGTGGTGCTGGGGAATGAACTCAGGGCCTTGTGCGTGAAAAGCAAGCACTCTACCAAATGAGCTACATCCCCAGCCCTAAATTAATATGCCTTTTTTATTTTTTAATACAGAAAGAACTAAGGAAAAAAAACAACAACTCATAAACATGTTCTACCCTTTAGGGATAAACACTGTTAACATTCTGATAATTTTTCAGTGTAAATATAAAAGAGCCTATATTATTTCAAAACGGAGAATATATAAAATACACTATTTCATATCTTTTCGTACAAAATGACATTGTGAGCATTTACTTATGTCTTTAAAATATTATTTCAAAACATTAGTGAAGATCATTTTTAATGAGTACATAACAAATATATGTATTTGTATTAATTTATTTAATCTTTCCCCTATATTTGAGCTTATAAGGCGACTTTGAAATTTTTGCTACTATAGAAAATATTGTGATGAAAATTTGCAAATCTATTTTTATTGGTGGAACTACTATGAAAAGGAATGAGCATTTCTTTCTCTCTTTTTATTTTTTGTGGTGCAAGAGATCAAACCCAGGAGGGTCTTATATATGTGAGGCAAGTTCTCTACCACCTCCAGTCCCAGAATGAGCATTTTTTTTAACCTTTACTTTTAAAATTTGTTCTAATTAGTTATACATAATGCATTTTGACACACTGTACCCAAATGGAGCACAACTATTCCTTCTTCTGGCTGAACATTGTGCAGAGTCACACTGGTAGTGTAATCATACATATATAGGATAATAATGTCCATCTCATTCCACCATCCTTCTCATCCCCAAATCCCCTCTCCTCCCCTCACTCCCCTCTACATAATACAAAGTCCCTTTATCCCCTCATCATTATGAATTAGCATCCACTTATCAGAAAAAACATTCCACCTTTCATATTTTGGATTTGGCTTATTTCATTTAGCATGATCAGAATAAGCATTTCTTGATGAAATCTAGCTGCTTTTCAGAAAGGTGCGGCAATTTCCATGCTTCCAACAATGTAAAAGAGTATCTAATTTCATAAATGCTGATCCACATATTTCTTTTTTTTAAAAATATTTATTTATTTATTAGTTATTGGCAGACCAACATCTTTGTTTGTATGTGGTGCTGAGGATCGAACCTGGGCCGCACGCATGCCAGGCGAGCGTGCTACCGCTTGAGCCACATCCCCAGCCCCCCGCATAGTTTCTTAAAAATCCAAATTATAAATATATTCAGTAAGATGTCACAGACATGGAATAAAAGATGATTTAGTAATTTTATGTTTCAGTGCTAGGGCTTGAACCCAGGGGTGCTCTACCAATCAAGCTACATTCCCAGCTCTCTGTATTTTTTATTTTGAGGTAGAGTCTTGCTAAGTTGCCAAGACTGACTTTGAACTTGCAATCCTCCTTTATCAGCAACCTGAATTGCTTATATTACAAGGGTGCACCATCATGCCCAGCTGTCATTATTTTTTAGTATTGAATTCACACTTTTAACTTAGTTAAAAGTTTAAGTTTCTTTTTTTTTTTTTTTAAAGAGAGAGTGAGAGGAGAGAGAGAGAGAGAGAGAATTTTTAATATTTATTTTTTAGTTCTCGGCAGACACAACATCTTTGTTGGTATGTGGTGCTGGGGATCGAACCCGGGCCGCACGCATGCCAGGTGAGCGCGCTACCGCTTGAGCCACATCCCCAGCCCCAAAAGTTTAAGTTTCATTTGGGAAATAAAACGTATAAGTAAGATTATTGGTGTCTTATACAGAAGAGATGGCTGAGGCTGTTAAAAGGTTGAACTAACAAATGAATAAACTGAACGAAAGAATAAATAGCCTTAAGAGTCAATATACTTGAATTCTAGGCTTAATTTGCATTATTTGTTACTCTAGGAAAATTTAAACACCTTTTCCAAACTCAGATAGCTAATTACTACTTTAATATCTACTCTTCCTTCACAAAGATGTCAGAAAAATAAACAAGAAAGAATTATGAGGGGCCTGGGGTTGTGGCTCAGTGGTGGAGTGCTCGCCTAGTATGCACAAGACACTGGGTTCGATCATCAGCACCACATTAAACGTAAAATAAAGATGTTATGTCCACCTAAAAAACTTAAGAATAAATATTAAAAAAAAGAATTATGACACAGTACATTAAGAATATAATATCTCAAGTCAGAGTGTTTAGGAACAATTCCTAGATCTGTTACTTATTAGTTGTGTAATCATGGGCAATTAAATGATTTGCTGTGTGTCAGTTTTTTCAACTGTAAAATGGGGATGATAATATTTATCTACTTACTATGATGTTTAAATGATTTATGTGAAAGCACTTAGAATCTTGCTTGACACAGACCAAGTGCTCAACAAACATTAGATAATAATTATTAAAATAGGTAAAATTTATACATAGGTAAAATGATATAGTATATATTTGAATATAACTATATTTTTAAATTATATTTTTTAGCACATGAAAGAATTGTGAAATATTGTCACAAATATTAATTTCACAAATTGTTCTTTTTAAAATGAATATTCTTTTTTTTTGGTTGTTCACTTGACTACATTCTTCTTATCCAAATCTCAGTTCAAATATATCTTCCTCAGGTCATTTAAGCCTCTACCTTAAAATTATCCTCTACTATACATACAATTTTCATACTCTATAATTATTTTGTTTATTTTCTTGTTACTATCTCTCCTTTTCCTACCAGAATGTAAACTCTATGAAGGAAAAAAGCTGTGAATTGACTTGATTTATATAACCAATAAATATCTTTTTAAAGAAAATATGTATCTTGCAAGTGAATGAATCAACAAATTGATTATGTAAAGATGGTTAGCTACTGAAAAACCCAACATAAAAGCTACAGGTTCTTCCTTAGAAGGAATGGTCCTCTAGATTAGTGTTTCTCAAACTTTTTTGATCCTGGCCCCAGTTAAGAATACAGTTTATTTCAACGTAACTGAAACAAAAATTTCACACAAACACAAACATACACACACGCGCGCGCACACACACACACACACACACACACAATACTACACTAATAAAGTGTGACGAATTTTGATATTTTCTATTCTATTCTATTCCTATACATTAAAAATAAGTGACGGTAGTTCACTAAACTGATCTATATTCCAAGATGTATAAAAGAGTTGAAGTTTGGGGCTGGGGTGGCTCAGTAGTAGCGTGCTTGTCTAGCATGTGTGAGGCGCTGGGTTCAATCCTTAGCACATCATAAAAATAAAGAAAGAAAATAAAGTTATTGTGTAAAAAAAAAAAGAGTTGAAGTTTGAAAAATAATGAACTAAGTCAGAGATAATTAAACTAGTATCTGCAAAACCTTAAAAAAGACTATAGTTTTATGTACATGTGGTAGGCAGGGTTGTCACAGTTTTCAAATTCATGAAGAGGTTCATGTTTTCTAATATTTAATGACTTTAAATTATCATATGTTCATTATATTGTCTGTGAAACACTACATAAAAACATGTATAAAAATGTGGTTTAATCCAAGGATGGCAATAGGAGAAAGCACTATTTCTGAAAATCTAATAAGGCTCAGGTTTAAATACTGACTCTGGAACCTTATACAAGTTACTTTGTCTATTGGCTTTAGTTTTCCTATCTGATAAGTAGTTTGAATATATTCATGGAATTAAGTATAATAATTATGGTTCCTGAAATGTATGGTAGGCATTCAATAAATTACAGGCATCATTGTTACACTATTATTTGCAACAAAATTAACTTCCATGAACAAAATACAGTTTAAACAAGAGTACAATCATAACTTTTTTTTTTTTGATGGTGGTACTGGGAAACAAACCCAGACAAGTGCTCTACCACTGAGCATTTTGCCTTACAAAATGCAATTCAACGAAAAACAGATTATTAATGTATACATGGAATTTGTACTCTAGGATCTTACTTTTCTGATAGTTGGTAACATTGCTATGTAAAAATGATGACAATATGGTCTGATAGGCATGAATTTATCAGTTCAATAAGTGTACCAGGTATTCATAATGAACAAAGTCTGCAGAAAATATTAACAAATTACTCTTCTCACCCATTAGGATTTTGATTATGATTATAATGAACAACTTATGGTTTTATCAACCAGTATTTCTCACATCATTTAGCTGCCTGTTGCAGAGTGGTGTGGCTGTGCTGGAATTCTGCTTATTCCCTGCCTTTAAAGCTGCATCTCTTCTTGCTTGTTCAAGAAGAACTCTTGCTCTTTCTTTAAGTTCTTCTTGTCTGGATAACATTCGATGCTTAAAAAACAAAGAAACAGACGCCAAATTTAAAGAAATAGACAAATCCATTATCAAACAAATAATCTACATTTTAAACGAATTAAAAGTTAGACAATCTGTTGAAATAAAAGGTCAGGAGTAAGATTTTAGCTTTCTTACTAATATTACCTATACAAAATATTAATGTTGACTAAACATTTAGAATGTATACATAAATCTTGACATAAAGGAAATATCTTTACTGTCTAAAATTGGATTGAATTTAAGTATACTTTCATTAGAACATAGTCTTATAAGTGGTGTGTGTAAATTACATATTCCTCATATGTGCTCATAAACATAGTAAATTTGTCAGCCAAAAACATTTTTTAAAGTTCTTATAGACTTTTTATGTTCTTATAGAAGTGACAACAACAATGAGTCTTCTAAATTTGTACTAGATAGACATTAAATACCTGTGGCAACCATCTTTTAAATTCCTGACATTAATATTTATAGAAAAATGCAAAGCTACTATATGTAAAAAAATGTAAAACTGTTTTTCTCCACTATTTACATTCTTTATAAGAAAACAATTTATCATATCAGAATTGGAGAAATATTCTCCAATTTGTAATTTTACAATGTATTTTTGGAGAACAACAGATATTGGCTATCAATGAAAATCAGTTCTTAAATGGTGGCATTATCCAAAAATATAATATTCCTTTTTTGTGTATGGTACTGGGGATTGAACATGAGGCTTTGCACATGTTAGGCAAGTGTTCTATAACTGAGATGTATCCCAGATCCTTTTTATTTTATTTTGAGAGAGGTTCTTATGTGTTGTCTAGGTTGGCTTTGAACTTATCTCCTATCTAGTAGCTGAGATTATAGGCAGGTGCCACTATGCCTAGCACCATACTCCTTTTTTTCTATGGAAGTAACGAACTTCTGGCTTAAGATGGCTATTACCTTTACTCTGATGCTTAATTAATTTGACATCCTTTTCACTGTATAGTTTTTATGGTCAAGAAAAAGAAAATAGAGAATAAACTTATTACTTTACTATTATATGAAGCTTTCTCTTTTAAAAAATTAATATACCATTTTTGGGGCCTTTTTGTGATTGATATATTCAACTATAACTAGGCTGAGTGTGATGACACATACCTATAATTCCACCAACTTAGAAGGCTGAGGAAGGAGGATCCCAAGTTTGAGGTCAGCATCAGCAACTTAGAGAGAGACCCTGTCTTGAAATAAAAACTTTTAAAAGATCTGGGGGCTGGGGTCATAGGTCAGTGATAGAGTGCTGACCTATTATGTGTGAGGCCCTGGGTTCAATTCTCAACAATGCACATAAATAAAGAAAATAAAGGTTTATTGACAACTGGAAAAAAAAAGGATCTGGGATGTAGCTCATTATAGATCAGTGGTTGAGTGCTCCCTTAGGAACTCAGCAAGAGCCTGTCTCTAAATAATATATTATAAAAAGGCTGGGGATGTGGCTTAGTGGCTGAGCATCCTGGTTCAATCTTTAGTACCAAAGGGAAAAAAATAAATAAATAAAAAAACTGTAACTATTTTTAAACCTTTTTTCTATAATCTTAAGATTTTCCTTAAAATGTACAAGAAATTATTTTTGGTATATTCACAAGGTTATGAATTATTGCCACTAATTCTGGAACTTTTTCATCACTCAAGATTTTAAAAGGATTAAACAAAAATTCTTAATAGATACAAATGAAATATATAAGTGGTAATGATAGATTCTAAGTTAATGTTGCTAGGATATAACAGAATTAGTCATTGCATTTCTACTGGTTATAATATCAATACTTTCTCAAAATAGAAAAAAAGTTTAATGAACATTGAATTTTTAGTCATGATATCAGGCTTGAATCAATCCTTCTGTCATTAATAATAAGCAACGCAACATGAGCAGGTCACTTAAAAACTATACTGCCTTCCATTATATGATGATTAGGAATTTTGGAGTCAGACATTTGGGTTCAAATGCCACTTCCATCACTTAATTGTAGGCAAATTACTCAATCTTTCTAAGCCTCCATTTTCTCATTTATAAAATTCGGAGAAAAACAGACCAACTTTCATAAGGATAGTGTAAAGATTAAGTAATAGAGTAACACAATGAGCACTTGCACATGATAAGCACTGAATAAATATTGACTATTATTATTTCTTAATCCCTCAATTTCCTTATCTTTGAAATGTGGGAAATGAGAGTAGATCATCTTTAAGACTCCATTAGCTCTAAATTCTATAGTCCTTTAGTGATTCAACCCAACCACATAGACTGTGAAAAACTGTGCTTTGGTCTTAAGAAAACACAGACACAAATTTTATTTTCTGATTAGAAAATTACTAATCATATTATAAAATATAAAATTACAAAATTGTATTTTACTAATTATAGAGATTAGTAAAAAGAAGAAAAAAATCATTAGTAATCATGGTATCCAGAGATCACTGTAGAATCACAGTTTTTTCACTTAATACTTTATCATTTTATTTTTTTTGCAGTGGTGGGTATTGAACCCAGAGCCTCATACATGTTAAGACAAGTGCTGTACCATAAATACTTTATCGTGAGCTTTTTCTCATGTCCTTATATATGCTTCTTGAAAATATAATTTTAATAGACTACCCAACATTCTATTATATAGATGTATTCATTAGACATTAGTTAACTTATTTTATTGGATATATTGGTTGTTTGAAAATTTTTCACTCTCATAAATAATGTTTTTATTTGCCCTGCTGAGAAGAAAACAGAGCTCATGCAAGTTCTCTGACACTGAGCTACATACTCAGCCCAATAAATAATATCTTTGTGAATACTCCTACATGTAAATTTTTGTATATGATTCTGATCATCTCCTTAGGAAAAAATCCCTGGAAATAGGATCTAATAAGATAAACATTTTGTTGTTTTGAAATGAGGCCTTGCCAAGTAGCTGCCCAGGCTGCCCAGGGTGGACTTGCACTTGTGGATCTTCTCATCTCAATGTCCCAAGTAGCTGACACACACAGCCATCATGTGTGGCTGACATAAACATTTTTAAGGACTTGATGCACATTATAAAATTGCCTATCAGTAATGCTGACTTCTTTACAACTGGGCTATGATTATTATTTAATGCTTAAATGATAAAAAATAGAGAGATTTTGTGAACTTTAGGCACAAAGACTTTGGAGTCAGACAGGGCTGGTTTGGAATTCAAACTTTAAAATATATTATATGACCTTAGACTACTCTATAAAGTATTATTCAACCACTTACTTCATTAGTTGTAAAGTTTAAGAAAGATAAGATAAATAAATAATTGCCATCATGTACTAAGCACTTACATGAGTAGCATTATAATTTTGTTAAGTATATAAAAACATATTAAGCTACAAAATTTCCTATAATTTAATGCTTAATTATAAGTCAAAATTTTATCTATTACTAAGAAAAAACACTACCAATTAAATTCCAATATACTATCTATTATAAGTAATATCTTGATTTCAGAAAAGTTAAAATATAGAAAGATATATATCTGAGAATTAAAATATAGGGCACAAAAAGAGAAACAGAATACTATCAGTTAACATACGTAATCTCTTAAAAACCTACTAAATGTCAGCATCCATATTACAATTTTTGGTGTCAAGACATTATTCTTGCCAACCAAGTGCCAAGCAAACCTTTAATTCACCTTAAGCAAAATTCAACCCATAAACGAATGGCCAACGAGCAAACATGAAGCTATAAATAAATGGTACATCCTTTAATCATATGAATAGAATCACAACATAAAAAAAATTTAGAGCTAAAAGGGCTTTTAGAGATTAGTTAATTTAACATATGTGGAAAATAAGATTATGAGAGTTTAAATGAACACTTAATGTTACATTGCTAATTATTGGCAGAATCAAAATGAGAAACTAGGTTTACTGATTTTTAGTCCTGCATATTTCTAATTTTTAACCATTAATCAGTTTCTAGCTTTAAATAAAACATTTGCCTTAAAAATCTAGCTTATATGAAAACTATTTATTGGATATTACATCTAAGGCTCATCAGATTCTGGAGTTGTCAATTACTAGCTGTGTATTATCCACTACTTATGAACACTATGTGATCATGAAAACTTTCAGACGGGTTTAACTACTTAAGACCTTTAAGATTTTTGATTAGGAAAACAGAGGCTTGCTTTGATAGCTACTATATTTCTTTGATTCTAAGAAGTATTCTTTGCCTTCGTTCCTTCTTCCTTCCTCTCTCTCTTTCCATAGTGGTGGGGATTGAACCCAGGAACTCACACATGTTAGGCAAATGTTCTACCTGTGAGCTATTTCCCCAGCCTGTATATTCTTTCCTAATACTTCTGGCACCTTACAATCACAATCTTTCAGTTAACATTGTTGTCTATCTACACATTGCTTGATACTTCTGGTGGCACAACAGCAATCCCTAGACATTTCTGTCAGAAACCACTTGAATATACTCTTCCCACAGATTAGTTCCAGGACCCCCTGTGGATTTTCTGCAGATGCTCTGGTCACTTAGATAACATGGCATACTATGCATAACTTAGTCATGTCCTTTTGTATGCTTTAAATCATCTCTAGATTACTTACAATACCTAGTACAATGTAAATGTTAATTTTTCATTTAGAAATATATTTAGTTATATAAATACACATTTAATCATAAACAAATTAGATGTTAATATGTTTTAAATTTACTACTTGAAAAGAAACAAAAACCAAGTAAGAATGACATTATTTTACATTTTTTTGTAAGACTCTTTAATATAAGAAAAAAATCAGCTTGGATTCTCCCATATTTGTATTAAATCTGTTGAATACCAGGAATCATGGAATCTCCAGAAAATACTTCCATACATTTCTGAGAGAATGAGTGATAAAAGTGAATAATGTTCTAGCATTATGATAGAAGGTTTTATCTTTGAGGGCTCTCTGAAAGGGTCTGAGACAGCTTCAGATGTGAAAAGACCAAACTTTGAAAATTTTTGCTATAGCACCATATTTTGGTGGCACAGAGGACAATACTGTGTGGAAAAATAGGACTACCAATAACTCTAAGTCAAAAAGTGATTCAGAAGAGCTGGATTCTAAATGTGAAAATCTTCTAGAAGTAACTTAATCTGTTCATATTGTTTAAAATGTCTTTGAGTAAATAAGTGTTTTATGTGATATGAAAATGTGTCCTAAATCTAAAAGAGTTCTTTCAATAGTTATAAAATAAAAATTCTAAGCAATAAAACTATCATAATTTTATTGGCATTTTTTTGTTGTAAATAAAATAATATTATATCTTATAATTGATGATGGGACCAGAGATTCGATACAGTAAATATTAGTAAGGAAGGGGTCAAAACTGCACTATATTTCCCTTAGGGGAGAAATATAGATGCTACTGGATTTTAAACCACAAACAATAATGGAACTAAAAATACCAATTAAAATGCAAGTGAAGTATTGAATAAAAATGCTTTAAGTGGGAAATACTTAACTGGGTATTTCATTTTAAAATGATATTCTTTTTTTTTTAAACACCTTTATTTCTTTATTTTCATGTGGCGCTGATGATCAAACCCAGTGCCTCACACAAGGAAGGCAAGCTCTCCCCCCCTGAGCTACAGCCCCAGCCCCTAGAATTATACTTTTTTTTTTTTTAAAGAGAGAGTGACAGAGGGAGAGAGAGAGAGAGAGAGAATTTTTTTAATATTTATTTTTTAGTTATTGGCGGACACAACATCGTTGTTTGTATGTGGTGCTAAGCATCGAACCGGGCCGCACGCATGCCAGGTGAGCGTGCTACCGCTTAAGCCACATCCCCAGCCCCGAAACTTTTTTTTTAATATTTATTTTTTAGTTGTAATTGAACACAATACCTTTGTTTTTTTTTTTAAGAGAGAGTGAGAGAGGAGAGAGAGAGAGAGAGAGAGAGAGAATTTTTTAATATTTATTTTTTAGTTCTCTGCGGATGCAACATCTTTGTTGGTATGTGGTGCTGAGGATGGAACCTGGGCCAAACGTATGCCAGGCGAGCTCGCTACCGCTTGAGCCACATCCCCAGCCCCTACAATACCTTTGTTTTATTTATTTATTTTTATGTGGTGATGAGGATTGAACCCAGAGCCTCGCATGTGTGAGGCAAGGGCTCTACTGTTAAGCCACAACCCCAGCACCTAGAATGATATTTTTATTAAAATAAGAAAACTAAAATATCTTTGACTTATTATTGTGATAAAATATTGTTTTTATAATTGATAATATTTTGATTTGAAAAGTTAACATTCTTTATCCTTTAATCTTAAATTTGAGATTTGTAATCTTGAAATAATATAAACTTTAAATACATAGCAGGTACATTTTAGATTTTTTACAGTGACAAATTATATTTCACTGTTAATTATTTGTAACATCTTGAGGTATTCTATGAGCATAAAATGAAATAAAAAGACAGAATAGCTATTTACTAAATGTAAGTACTCATTCATTCTACTAATTCACTTACCTGGACTGTTTTAGCAGAATGATCTGCATGATTTAATGTGGTTCTATCAACATCTGGATCAGACTCTGTCTGCCTCATGGAAGTACGTTTTTTCTTTGCAAGGTCTGCATCTCTATTGTATGAGTATCCAAGTTTGGAAGTAGGAGATAAACTTGGTTTTTTGATAGGTGATTCAGCATCTGTTCTGCATTCTAAGTTTTTAGAATTCTCTAATTTTTCTTGCTCCATGTTACTACTGATGTCTTGAGTCTGAAGTTTTTGCTGGTCTATCTCATCACAAATAAAGGGTGGAGTCACATCATTCTTTTTATCACCAACATATAAGTCAGTTAATTCTAAAGTCTCAGCTTTTAATAGTCTCTTCTTGCCTAACAAAACCTGTGCTTGGGTTGGATCTGTATTGGAACATATTCCAGGGTCATCAGATCCTGAAGTCCTTCCAGAGCTCTGCTGGGACTTTTGGGGTTCTGTGTCACTTTTAGTTCGGCGACAGTAAGGGGAGACTGTGCTTGGACTGAGGTGATCATCAGGAGTCTGATGCTCACTTTCTGATTCTCCAACCCCACTATCATTTACAAATACAGAGTCATCCTGTGATAAGAAGTCTACTGCTCCACTGGTAGGCTGTCGAAGATCAGGCTCCTGCTTCAGATCACTCAGCTCTGCATAGAATTTTTCTTGATCAATAGAACTGTTTGTATCTGTTTCATAGTTTCCAACTTTATATGTGCTTTTACTGCTGTTTTCCTCTATCTGAACAACATTTAATTCTTGGCCACTGAAATGTGCCCTTATTTGATAAAGATAAGTCATAACAGTCAGTTTGTCAGGAATTGCTAATAAAACCATATCAGAAGGTTCCAATAACCGGGAAATTCCTATGCTGGCAAATCCATCATAAGCCTTCAAAGAAAGGAAAAACACAAGACAAAGTGAATAACTCAGACAATCCATACCTTTTTTCAAACAGCAATATTTTAATATTTTTGTTATTGTATAGGATACATAAACATTACTGACATTATGTCACATAAATGATATTCCTAAAGTCAGAAATGTTTAAAAGTGGGGAAGGATCAAGGAAAAAAAAAGTTAACTACCCAACAATTGAGATATTCCTTTCCAGAAAAAATAAAAAGCAAAAATGAGACTGAAAAAAAAATCTCAGAATCACTCTTTAAGATAAGGAACCAAGATATATAAAGAAATATTAGACTAAATCCATCTGAAGTGCTATCATTACTATCAACCTCTTTTCCACAGTAATGTAATTGCAGTGATTTGTGAAGAAAAAGCAGAGATGCATAAGTCAAAAGGATGAACTATCTGACTACCTGATATAAAATGCAAATAAATGCTATTTAAGCTTAGAAACATAAACTTTTTTTTTTCTTTTTGGTACCAGGGATTGAACCAGGGGTGCTTAATCACTGATTCACATTCTCAGCCCTTTTTATTTTTATTTTGAGACAGGATCTTGCTAAGTTACTGAGGCTGGCTTTGAACTGGCAATCCTCCTGCCTCAACCTCCTGAGCTAGTGGGATTACAGATGTATGCTACCATGCCCAGCCAACATATAAACATTTTAAAATACTCAATTAAGACTAATTTTCATAATGAGAAGAATGACTTCATTTTTATTTTATGCATTTTGGAGAGAATTAAATGTTTTGAGTACTACAACCTAGTTGAGAATGTAAAGCTGCATTGTATTACTTTGTTAGCCTTTAAATGACTGTGGCATATCAGGTTTTTCTAGTTTTGAAGAACCAAAGCTGTTTCTCAATTATTACTATCCTGAACTAACCTTTGAAAACAGAACTGTGTTGCTAGGAAGCATTAAAAATATGGCTAAGATTTAGACACACTCTCAGAGAGAAGATAAGGATTCTCTAGATATATTCTTGCTTTGGGATGTTAAAATGTCTATTTTTCTAAAAACCTAGATTTAGAAGCATAATTCAAAGTTCTTCTTTAAAAGAACTATTAGGAAATTATTAACAATTGAAAAGGAATCAGTCTTTTTGCACTTACATGTTAAAGTACATTTCTACCTTTGAATTTAATCCTTGTCTCATATTCTTCCTGTAGTTTAATAAATGTTGTGGAGTAAGTAAGAAAGAAAATGAAAAATAAATTGTGATATTAAAACCTCTTCAATTTTCACAGCACTATGCTTCATAATCTAGGCACCTCAAAATATTTACTAGAGAGAATAACTCAGTTGGTGTGCGTGTATAGACTTGTGTATATTTTACATGTTTTAGGAAAATTAAAGTCATTTTCTTCTTTGTGTGTCTTGACTACTTGATTGACAGACATCAATTGCAAGCCATCAGGAAAAGCACCACAGGCAGTAGTCTCAACATTTCCTAATTATCTAAAACACTGACATACTGGGTAAGATCAGATGCCACAGGTAAATGCATTATTTTTATTCAGCACTTTTTGCATAACTTGGAAAATGATTAGCTTCCTTGTAGGAAAACTCCTGCTGTTGTTCTGCTTCATGCAGCAATTCATTTTATGTAGACTAATTATACTAAAATCACTATTTTGAAACAAATCAAGTTTCTTTTATGCAAGCTCAAGACTTCATAAAAAATTTTTTCATATAGGTTAAATTCTTTTGCTCTGGTTGGTCACCTACTATCTTTTTAGCTGTTTGTGTATTAATAAAAAAGATTTTTCAAAAGGAAATTGTCTTATTCATTCCTAAGTATAATTAAATCCTTAAGGAGTCATTGCCAGTTATATTACAGATCTTCATGGAACTTAAGACATGGGCATTGTCTCTTGTGCTGCTTTAAATTCATTCAAAGGTACTCAGGGTTATTGGAAGATCTACACAAAGGTGGAAATAATGGTTCAGGTAGCAACTGAGATACTCAATGTAGATATAAGACGTTTCAAATGATGAAATGGAAAGACTAACAATTATTTAATGAATAGTGCAATAAGTAGAATCCTCAAAGTTAAAAGTCTTTCCAAAAGCCACAATTAACTGTCCTAGAAAATCTAATTGAGATTTGGGGATTGAACCAGGTTCTCAACAAATTAAGCACTTGCTCTAACCACTGAACAATACTCTCAGGTATGAGAAAAAAATTAAATGAGATACTTTTCTCTATTAGTAATATGTAAATGATTATTAAGTTCCTAAAAAATAATATAAAATATGACTTAAGCCTTAATGAGATTCCCTATATTATTTAAAAATGTTAGGAAACTCAATAGTTTCCTTTTCAAAGATTTGAATAGTTAGTTAAAAGCTCCACTTTAGGGCTGGGGCAGTAGCTCAGCGGCAGAGTGCTTGCCTAGCATGTGTAAGGCCCTGGGTTCAATCCTTAGCACTATATATATATCTCCACTTGGTTCTTTTAACTTTATTTGTTTACTTACTTATTTTTGTGATGAGATGTTGCTAGTTGACCAGACCGATCTTGAACTCCTGGGCTAATGGCCACCCTCCAATCTCAGCCTTCAGCCTTCTGAGCAGTTCAGACTATGGGCTTGCACCACTGCTATCTATCAGCTATTAATGGCTTATTTTATAATGCTTATCTCTGTATTTAATTTAGCTCAGCATTTTATTAATATGCAAAAAATGCACACATATAAGAACATAATTTACTTAATTAAAAAGGCATTTCACTTTAATAGAAATAAGTATTACAAAATCACACAGGAAATAATTCATGAGAATGATCTACTTTTTATAGCAAGCCTACAAGACAGTTAATTTCTATGAGAAAATTATACTAATTTTTAAGGATTGCCTCTTTTTGGTGGCATATATCAATTTTTAAAAATGGCAGTTTCAAAATGTATTATTACTGGTAATAATTTTCAGAGAAATAAGAATTTTTTAATGGCATATAAATTTTTGGTTTTAGAGAACAATCTAAGTATTAAACTTGTTTTGTTGGAAATCATTTTTTTTTCTTCATGGTGTGAGGGATTGAACCCAGGCCCTTGTGCAACTTAGGAAAGTGCTCTACTACTGAGCTATGTCCCCAGCTTTAAATTCTTATTTTTAAATTGAACTTTCATAAAATTTTAAGACTTTCTTTTTCTTTTTGGTGACACTGGAGTTGAACCCACAGACCCTCTACCACTGAACCATACCCTCAGCCCTTTTTATTTGATTTTGAGACAGGGTCTTACTAAATTGCAGAAGCTAGCCTTGTGATTTTCCTGCCTCAGCCTCCCAAGTTGCTGGGATAATAGGCATATGTCACCATGCCTAGTCCAACACTTTTTATCACCAGTAGTTTTAATGATCTAATTTAAAATAAATTAAAAACTGTCTATGCAGAGTGCTGTGGCACATGCCTGTAATCCCAATGGCTCAGGAGGCTGAGACAGGAGGATCACAAGTTCAAAGCCAGTCTCAGCAACTTAGTGACACACTAAGAAATTTACCAAGACCCTCCCTGTCTCAAAAAAACAAAAACAAAAACAAAAAACAAAAGGGGCTGGGGATGTGCTTAGTGGTTAAGCTCCCCTGGGTTCAATCCATGATTCCCCAAACAAAAAAACCTTTCTCTCTAGTGGTCCTTTAACCACTTTGTCCTATGAACCCCTTTAGCCACAGACACTTCTCAGAATAATGTTTTACAATTAAAGAATAGATAAGAATCAAAAGAACCAATTACACTGAAAAATACAACTAAGCAAATACTGCAAAACAATTTGGGAACCAATAAAGTATATGCTTTTTATGAGAATATTTTTTTATAACTGATTTTGATAAACTTAAAAGTATTTGTAGAAATTTGCAACAACTGTAGTAAGATAGGATAAATCTATAATTTCTGAAGTAACAGTCTAAGGTATGCCTACTACTACCATGATTTTTTAAAATCAAAATTTACAATAGAAAAAAATACTAATGTTTAAAGAATTTAAAATAAAATGTATTTTTCTCTACATCTTCAAAGACCTCTTTAATTATATCCAGAGATCACAAGTTATAAACTCCTTTTCTGGTGGGCATGGTGGTACATACTTATAATCCAAACAACTCAAAAAGCTGAGGCAAGAGGATCTCAAGTTTGAGATCAGCCTCAGCAACTTAGTGAGACCCTGTCTCAAAAAATAAAAACGACTGTATAGATCCAACCTAGATGCCCTTCAACAGATGCATAAAGAAAATGTGGTACATATACACAATGGACTATTACTCATCCTTAAAGAAGAAATTATTATGGCACTTGCAGGTAAACAGATTGAGATGGAGAATATCATGCTAAGTGAAATAAGCCAAATCCCCCCAAAACAAAGACTGAATATTTTCTCTGGTAAGTGGACACTGATCCATAATGCAGGCGTGGGAGGTATTAGGGAAGAATGAAGAAACTTTGGATTGTGCAGAGGGTGGGGAGGGGATGGGATGGGATGTGGGAATGGAAAGGATGGTGGAATGAAATAGACATTATTACTCTATATACATGTATGATTACACTAATGGTGTGACTCTGCATCATGTGCAGCCAGAGGAAGGAGAAGTTATGCTCCATTTGTTTACATGTGTCAAAATGCATTCTACTGTCTTGTACAACTACTTAGAACAAACTAAAAAAAAAAAAAAGAAAGAAAGAAAGAAAAAGGACTGGGGATACAGTTGAGTGATAAAGCTCTCCTGGGTTCAATCCCAGTATTGTAAAATAAAGAACTCAACAACAACAAAAACTCCAAGAAAATACATTTCATTCATTTTTCAAATGAAGAATTCAATTCAGTACAAACATTTGTGTATCTAATGTGTGCAGAATTAGGCACTTCCTTCCTTGCACACAGAAAATTATAATCCTGTACTGTGCACTGGGGTAAACAGATACATCAGCCTCTAGCCACAGTCAGCTGGCCCTTGGGGCTCTTGCAACTCAGCCCTATGCAGTTGCCCTGAAGGCTGAAAGGATCAATATCTCCAAATACCAGCAAGGAAGCTCTGATCTCAGTATATTTTAATTAGTTATATGGAAACACATATATAGTTTACTAGAAAGTGAAAAGAACCAATATTTATATCTTTTTGCTTCTACAAACCTAGTCACCTAGGTAAAAAGTCTTGTTTACCTATCAGGTTCCTGCTCTCATTTCCTTCTAACACATTTTTCTAATGTGTTAGAACATGTTATGTAAAAGTTATGGCACAATAGTTTTGGGTGTACTTTTAAAAGCTAAATCTTAGAATTAAAACATTATTTTTTTTTAACAAACATTTAACAGTTAATGAAGACCATACATATATTGTAATCTGATCCCGGACTGACTCTTGGATTTTTAAAGTCCTGATAAACCAAAGTAAACCAAGTATCCTATTTTTGAACTTTGGAATGCAAATTATCTTCTAAGAGCTGCAATTATGACCTCACCTAAACTCCCTTCACTTCCCCCAAATTAATAAAAAACCTGCAGAGAAGCCAAAATTGAAGCTATGTATTTTTTCCCCTTGGCATTTCTTACCTTTTTGTTGTTCTCTTTAATATCTTGAGGATTCAGAGACTTGTAGTCACTGAGGGAGAAAATGGCACAGTAGGTACATGAAGTATTTGATAAAAACAGCTGTTTTTAAAACAAACTGAATCTAAAAATTTGACATTCAATAATACCAGAGTAACCAGCAATTTCACAGAAATTCAATCAACAAAACTAATAGTGTGGAAAATTAAGGAAATAAATAAATAAATAAATAAAAACAGTGATTACATGTTTCACTGCCTGAAGCTTTCCATCTAAAAGAGAAGTTAAGGCAGGGGACCAGAGACTAGCCATGACAACCAAATTTACCATGAGGTAATCCCTGTTGTCAATGTAGAAAGAGCTACAGGCTTCTTTATCTCATCTCATTTTAACATTAACACAATTTTCATAATAATTTGAAGTCAGTTTTTTTGTTCAAGATTAAGGAGAAAAAAATCATTTTTTTAAAAGGGAAAATATGTTTTTTAGGTATTGAGAAGGAAGCAGTTTTCCTGGCATATACTTCTCTCAAAAAAGCAAAAGGTGTGGCTAGCAAAAAAGAAATATAAAGTCAAGTAATTCAGGACATGTTCTATGAAATGATTTTGGGTTCTTTTAAAAACTGTGTAAATACTGGGGAATAGTAGCATAATGCCTGTAGTATCAACTACTTGCTATAAAGCAAGAGGATCACAACTTTGAGGTCAGCCTGAGCAACTTAGTGAGATTGTGTCATAAAATAAAATGGATTGGGGAGGTAGCTCAGTGGAGGAGCATCCTTGGGTTTAATCCCAAGTTCTGCCAAAAGAAAAATAAAAGAAATTCTATTATTTATGCAATGTAATAGGGAATGGAAACTGTTTCTACTTACATTAAGTCTGGTCTAAAGTGGTGTAATATAGCACAAAAAGATAAACCATTTCTCCATGATGTAGTAAAATTGGTGATTTTCACTCCTCGGTAGTTTTTCGTAACTTCTTTGCACCATACAAGCAATGACTGACTAGCATTTGGCTTTCGCCCCAAAATAGGACTTGGTATAGGACTTGGCTAGAAGAAAGGAGAGAGGAAAACATTAAAAGAATTTAATAAAAGATGAAAATTAACATTAATTGACCTAACTAGATCATTTGAACCCTTTGATGTCAGTTTAGGTCCTTCAAAGCTGTCAATTCATGACAACTATAACATCCAAGAGGGAGACATAAATCTTAAATTATTATCTTCAGTTTTAGCTCATGGCATTTGCCTGACAACGATGTAGATAGGTGAGATTTTAAACTTATATATAAGAATAAGCAAAGAGTTTTATTGATGGAAACATCATGTTAAAGTATTTAAATACATAATGCTAAATACCTACACAATTTTCACACACTAAAAATTCCCCCACAATTGCAATCACATATAAACATGGTTCCTTTTCGACTGGACTAAAAATAATGCATTTTAAAGTCTAAATTGTTAGTAGAGGAGAGATCAAAATCATAGCAAGTTTTTAAAATTCAGTAATCATATGTATGCATTTAAAAAATAACAATGATTATCATATTCAAGGATATAAATTTAATAACAGCAAAATAGTTTTAGAGTTTTTAGCATTAACCAGTTACTGGTAGCAACAGTACACAATAGTATTCATTTTGGATATACTCAAAATACATTTTAATTATCACTGAGAGCTATTTTTTAAAATATTAGCTGAGTTAGTTATACATGTCTTTAAAATCTTTATCATTTTCCTTCCCCCTTGTTCATATATATAAGACTACAATGATGGGAATAAAATTAAGACTACATTGTAAGATTTTTATTCTAAATTTTTGTTGTTCTTAAAATTATGTCATTTTATTTTACTGTCACAACAATTTTGTGACAGTAACTTGGAGGCTGATACAATGGAAAAATATAAAGAAATTGATTAAGTATTTCTGGATTTTAATCTTGCTATTAATTAAAAGTGCTTGCTATGATAATAAGGCAGACATAAAAGAGAGGCATTCTAAAGAAAGGTGAAAGAACAATTATTTACCCTTAATGTCGTTTAACAAGCAAGCCATTCTTAACATACTGCTTATTTAAGAAAGACCAATGATGCCCCCACTTGACAAAAGCATGTCAGTGCCAAATGATTAAAATCATCAACCACACATGATTTTGATTTATGTATTTACTACTTCTGTGGGAAGACCACCAAGAAATACCAAGGATATAATTTCTCATTTTTATTAACTGTCAGATTAACAAATCATTATATAAACAATCATGAATCTAGCAAAGCACTCTTCTTTCAAAGATCACCTACATTAAGTCAATGCTAAAAAAAAATGGATCATAAAAATTCAACAAATTTGAATCAGTTCCATTTAATACGAAGCAGTGGGTAAATATAAAATTCCCAATATAGTAAATTTACTTTAGAATAAATAATGGCTCTTTTAACTATTAATATAATGTTATAAAAATGAACCATTAAATTATCTTTTCACTTAATTGTCCACTGTGACTTTTAAATCTCTCTAGTCACTTAACCTAAAAGTAGAGAGTGGTCTATGAATGAGCTAGGCGATCACTAAACTAGGCACATACTCACTTTTTTTCAAACTTTTCTATTACTTACTTATTTGTCTACTAGCTATAAGATTATCTTTATTATAATGTTTTTCTATAAGAAATTATATTAAGGCAGTGAGTCACTTCAAGCATGGTTAGTATGAACATGGGCCAAATAATCCTATAATCATTATACTGATTCATTCAAATTGTCAGTCACATGTACAGAGGTAATGTATAAATGTCATTATCACTGTTACAATTTAGGATGAATTTCTATATGTAAAAATAGAGAATATATATGATGGCATATATTATATATATATATATATATATATGATTATTAAAATCTCTAAGAAAACTCAATATAAAAAGACTAGAAGAACTAAACCAAAATTTGGATTTGTTTCATCAAAAGCCTCATATTAAGGACACTGACTACCTTTCTGACTACAGGAAATCCTATGAAATTGAAGAAAGTAATGAAATTACAGGCCCTATAAATGGTAATATTGGTTTGCAGAGAAAGGAAATTAGAGGCAGTATTAAATGAACAACTACTCCAGAACTTCTGATCTTTCATCTAATATTTTGCAGAGGGTCATAAAGGAATTAATAATCAAATCACTGTGAAAGTTTCAGTATATAATTGAATCAAATAATTTGCTTCTTGTTATAATGTTATGGCAGATTACTTGTCTTCTTTATGTCTGTTTCATCTGTAGAATGAGTATGATGATGGTTAACTATTTCAGAGCGTTGTAGTAACAAGATCTTTCTTTCTCCTCTATCCTACTACCTCTCTCTGATCTTCTCTACACTCTTTCCCTTGATCACTTTGAAGTACACTGAATTTTTGTTGTTCCTTATATACCCCAGAAATGGTCTAACCTTAGGACCTCTGCAAGGATTGTTCCATTTTCCTGGTGTTCTCCTTTTAAGGATCTGCACGCTTAACTCCAGTGCAACCTTCACCATTTAGAAATATGCTATTTAATAATGCAGCCTATCTCAATAACCCAACCCCAAACTAGCATTCCTGATAGACCTTATATTGCTGTATTTTTTTGCCATACTATTTACCATATTTTTACAGTTCATATACTTTATCTTTTACTTTATTGGTTATTATACCTGTCATCACTAAATAAAAGATATATGAGGTCAATAACCTGTTTGCTTTATTTATGAACCTATCCCAAGTGTCCAACGACAGCAGACACTCAGTAAACACTGTTAAATAAATAAATGCATTTAAAAAAGTAACACTATATATGGCAAGATCATTCAGTTCATGTTAATCAATCTAACTACAATTATGATTAACACCAAAGCATTATCAGCACTGAACTTCTATTTTGGGGGCCTCTTTTGGAACATGAAAGGCCACAAATTTAACATAATGAAGGTTTTACTCTGCAGACAAAGCTTTAACTAGAAAATAATATCAGCACCTTGATATTCTATGTGTAAAACAGGGCATCTGTAATGGTTGGTAATGTATCTATTCCTATGTTTGGTGAAAGAAGCTCTGAATGACTGCAATACATTTCTTTCCATAGAAAGAAAAACAGCAAAATCTGTTCATAAGGGTCAGAACTGAACTCTGAAATATAGTTAATTTTAATATGTTATTTATGTTAACACAGCAGATTACATGTTAATAAGAAGGGCACCAAAATATTCTTTCCAACAATGGCAATAGTATCTGTTTTAGAAAACCCAGTCAAATAACTTGCTGAAAAAATTTCCTAAATTTCAAAAGCTATGAGAAATTTCAATTCCATTCTTTTCTGCTATATCCCCTTTATAGTTTGTCTTTTGTTATCTCCCCGTCTTCCACTAAACAGCTATCCATTCCTCTAGGTATTTCTCTGAATAGTTTTTTCTTTCCATACTTTGAGCTGATTCACTCTCAGGATTCCAACTATCACATGCAGATGATTCCCAAATGTACATTTATAGTTCAAACCATCTCAAATTGACATTTCCAGCTGGCTGTCCTTCCTGACATATAAAATTCAAACTCAGTATGTTAAAAATCACATTTTTAATCTTTCCTTGCAACCTGCTCATTTTCATTATGTTTGCAAATGAAATTGCTATTGTCCCAATTGCCTAGACTTTTATTCTTTGAATCACCTTTGAAATTTTCTTTCACCTGTCATCTTTTACTGGTTAATACATGGACAGGTTTGATGCTATGGTTATATTTTTGTAATCTATCTCCTTTTGACTAAATAATAGTGAAAATCTTCCTAACAAGGTTTCCTTCTTCTAAATTCTCCCTCTCAGGACCTACCATCATATTATAGAGTCTACTTAAAGCACAGCTAAAGCCAGAGTGGTCATTGTCCATTTTCCCTTACAGTAGTAAGGGTATCCTTAATCAGAGAGGGGATTGAGACCAGGGCAAAAGGTTAGGTAGTCAGTTTAGATAAAGAACAGTTGGGTTAGGAGAGGGGGGGCAATTAAAAAAGAAATAAAATGCTAATATCTCAAAATACTTCCCCCTCCTCCTAACCAGTTGGCAACTGCCTCCAGGGAATTAATTGTTCTACCACCAGGAGTTGATAATGAATGCCCCCTGGGTGGCTTCCTTCCAGCCTTTCTGGGCAGAGGTGGAAAATAGGGAGAGGTACCCTCTGGGCAGGCTTTTGGTTTTGTAGGCAAGATAAGAGTGGACATTAGAAGAAAGGAAACCTAGAATCTATAAAAGGGGCAAGACATCAGATATAAGTACCAGAAAATGTTATAGGATTATTGACTGTGGAGTATATTAATTAGTGTGTGTGTTAGATAAAGACTGTAAGCATTATGTCCATGATGTAATGTAAACTGCAAAACTTAGAAAAACTGCAGAACTTAGATAGACTTAAGATAGTGAGTCTATACCTGCTGAAACCCTAGGAATATACACCTGGCTTAGCAAATCTATGGAAGTAATTTAACAAATTAGCAAATTATAAGGAAAACATAACAAAATCATCTAAATAGATGCAAAAAATTTACAAAACTTAATGTCCATTTATATTCTAAAAATAATCTCAGCAAGCCAGCACAGTTTCCCTAATTTGCAAAGGCCTAGTAAATATCACAATGGTAAAATATTCAATACTAAAAGGTTTCCCTTTTTGAGATTAGGAATCTATCACCACTTTTATTTAGCATTCTATTCAGATTCCAGTTGGTACATTAAGGTCAGAAAAAAAAGATATATTAGTAATAAATACTTCTATTTATAGTAAATAATTGAGTATGAGGAAAACCCCAAACCCAAAAAATTATATATATAATTTATTAAAATTAATTAAATTTAGTAAAGGTGCCAATGTACAAAACTAAATTCCTATATATCAAAAAATTTTAATTAAAACAATTCATAGAGGCATACAAATAAAATCAAGTGTGATCATGCATTGTAAGGTGATATTTTCTTTCATTTATTTTATTTGTTCTTTTACATGAGAGTAGAGTGTATGACATATTATACAAAA